TTAAAATCAATCATGACTTAGAATTTAAAAAATGGATAATTGGCTTTTTTTTATTTTAAAGGTTTCTGTCATGAGGCATGTGCACTTACCAGAGGGAGACGAAAGGAGGGAACATGAGAAATCACTCCCCAGGAGCACGGGCTGTGGGGGACAGTGGGGGGATGGCCATGCAGCAATGTCTCTAGTCAATTTCTTATGAAGAGTGACCTTAAAGGTAGCTATATTCTCCCCAAGGCAGAACCGTCATTAATACAATGTTAGAGCTCAGTCAGAAGAAGTCTAAGTGTTGCTCCCTTTGTTTTGATAAGTTCTTCATATTAGCTCTTACGAGCACCTTTATGTAAGGAAATCACTGTGCAGGCCAAGTGTTTCTTTCTCCAGATAGCTTATAAGCATATGGATAGATTTGCATTAGAAATTCAATTAACTTTATATTAAAAGGTCAATTAACTTGGTCATGATAGAGATTGTTTTTAATTACTTTTCCTTGTAAGGCTTTTCTTCTTGTCCAACACAAGTGACACTATCAAATAATGGTTTTATTGCCTGTTGGTTGCCTAAAAGTCATATGCAAAATACACTGGAAATGACTGTCTTGGTCAAATGAATTCATAGGGACCCTCTTTGGGCAATTCATCACCATTATAATCCTTTGGGCTTAAAGTATCAGTAAGCACTAATAGAGTATTTCAGCTTTAACAGTATATCATTATTCATGGCAATATCTTTCATTATTTGTCCTTGTTGATTTTGATTTTCCTGATGAAAGATGGTAATAAAGTAAAATGATTTTAAGAACTAATCTTATTGCATTATAGCACAGTGTATTTTATGACAAAATGAACAAATAATGACCTCAAAAACTAGCTATGTCTTTTCATTAGAAGGTTCTTTGTTATCTTTCTGTAACATGGGTCATGCATGTGACCCTGGAACATTTATGCTTTAGATTCAAGGGACTACCACTGGCTACAAAATAACAATTAACAATGTAGTATTCACCTGTAACTAAGTGTTAATCATTACTAGCCACTGCTCAAAGGAAGATAATCACTAAATAAGTGGCCATAAATAAATGAACAATATGTTAACATTTTTTTTGGAGGGCGGGGTTTTTTGCTATAGGGTGCATGAGCTAGCTGGAAAGAAAGAGACAGAGAGAGACAGAAAGCAAGAGACCATCCTCCCAGGGGATGGCCATGCAGCAATCTCCTCTCTTCCATTCTCCTCTCAGGATCTTGGGAACTCATGCACACGCGCTTGGCATTAGTTTAAGCCACCAGATCTGGGACTCGAACCACGGTTGACTGCATGGGAGTCCAGCAACATAGCCATTACACCAACTGCTGGTCCCAACATATTTTATTTATTAATATATTAACTCACTTTTAGATAACTAGCAGTTTAATAATAAAGAACACTAATTGAGTGTTTGCTATAAGGCAAAATCTTTTTTTTTTCTTTTTTCTTTTGTAGAGGATTTTGCTATAGGGCGCGTGCGCTTGCCAGACAGACAGACAGAGACAGAGAGACAGAAAGTGAGAAATCACCCCCCAGGGGGGATGGCCACGCCGCAATTCCTTCTCCTCTATTCTCCTCTCGAGATCTTGGCCACGCACACACACGCGCCCGGTGTGAGTTTAAGCCACCGAGTCCGGGACTCGAACCACAGTTGACTACATGGGAGTCCAGCGACATAGCCATTACGCTAACTGCTGGTTCCCAAATCTTTTTTTTTTTTTTTTTGAGGGAAAAATCTTGAAACTTGTTGTTTTATTTACACAGATGGGAACAGCCTTCACTTTATAGGGATGGTAGCAATGTTCTGAACACCTCGTAATCATTGTCTACATCGTTTCACTACAACTCTATGAGATGAAATTCGCTCTTGCCATTTTACTGATCAGCAAACTGTAGCTTATGTTTCAGTCAAGGTGACAACAGTTCACTAGGGTCAGAGTCAGAAATTTTATTCATGTCAATCTGCCTTTCCAGAATTTCCTTTTTTTTTTTTTTTCCTAAGATAAGCACTGGCTCTAAGTGTAGTCAAACCATGATCTGATTACACAGGGGGCTTGACAAATGTTTTTAATTTTTCAGAGAGAGATTTTTGCTATAGGGTATGTATGTTTGCTAGAAAGAGAGAAAAAAAGTGAAAAGTCACCCCCCCTGGGGGATGGTCACTCCACAATCTCTTCTCTTCCATTCCTCTCTCAGGATTTTGGGCACAGGCACATGCACCTGGTATGAGTCTAATCTACCAGGTCTGGGACTCCAACTGTAGTCAACTACATGGGAGTCCAGTGACATAACCACTATACCACCTGCTGTTCCTTTGAGGAGTGTTTTGACTGTGCAGTTATGGAAATTGATCAGAGGAAGATGATGATTTAGCCAGTGCAACTCAAAGAGTATGTCAACAAGAGTGTAAACTAATTAAGTCATTAAGTATATACTTTTTCCCATAGTGAGACTTTCTCAAAGATGGGAGTTGTACACCCATACCAATGCATCTTTTCCATCTCTGTGTGGGCCAGTAACAATTTGCAAACTAATAACCAGTCCATAGATGAGCCTTTAAGTGGCACAAGCTTCAGGAACTTCTTATGAGATTTGCCTTTTTGTTTTGGTGAACATTTAAATTATTTTGAGTGAAAGTGATTCTCAAAGTTATCCTTTGTGTTTTCTTTTTCTTTTCACTTATTAAAAAAGTATTAAAATGTCACATCTTGTCCACATTATAGATAGTAATGAAGGCTAATATCATAAGTCTTATATATCTACAGAGGACATTAAACTTATCTTATTAAGTGATATTGCTAGTTTTGCTAGGCTGATCTCTTACAGAAGCAAAGTAAAATAGCTTTTCTATAGAATTAACAATATTGCCATCACACAGCATGATGTTTAAAGTGAAATACAAATTTTTAAAAGGTGTTATTCATACCTGCACCTCCACCTATGCTTAGAATCTTAATTTCTGATTTTGTGCTTCCAATCCTGAAAAAAAAAATTATACTGTGTAAGAAAAATGTGTGAGGTTACATGTAAAATTTGATTATCAAATTGTCTAGTTGTAGAGAACAGACTAAAAACACAATGAACAAAACCTAGACCAACATAAAAGGTCCTATTCAGTTCAGTAGTTATACCATTGTTTTGAAAATGTCCTTAAAAATATTGGTTCCAATTATTGACAACCTTGAACTGGAAGGCTTAGAAATAGCAGTAAGAACATGTTAAAGATGGAAAATGCCATGTGTTTGGAAACTGAAGAGTAAGAAAAGAAAACGTGTATCTTGAGTCTGGTGATATAACAAGGCAGTCATTAAACATGGGGACAGCTGAGGTCGTCATGCTATCTCAATGTCTGTCGCCTTTCCTTCCTTCCAATGCACAAATACTTATGAGCCATTCAGTATGTGCCTATTCTAGACGCTGAGATTATAAAAATAAGATACTAGTATGCTCACTAGTATGAGCTAATAACCAGAAATAGAATGGAATAGATGGATTAGGAAGTAATCAACAGGACTTGCTTTTAGACTGAGGCAAAGAAGGCATAAAAAATACGAGTATGCAATGACTGCCGTATTTCCAGTTTGGATAATGAGGCCCATGGTGTTACCAAGAAGGAAGCTGGAGAGTATCATCTGTGAGCATTTTTGTCTTTTGTCAGTTTTTGCTTTTGCTTTTTTAAAAATAAATCTGAATTTAGCAGATGTTTGGATGTAAAAGGTTTAAGCTAGGTAGTAGAGAAGATCGTGATCAATAATGTATTCTGCAGAATTACTGTCAGAAATCAATGGTCAAAACTAGGAGGAAATGCTATCACCCAGTGACGTAAAAAAATTAGAAAGTTAGTGGGACACTGATGCAAAAACAACTTTTAAACATCACTGGATTGGAGCCAGCAGCTAGTATAGTCGTTGAGGCATTGGATTCCTACATGGCTGATTGTGGTTTAAGTCCTGGACCTGGCAGCTTGAAACTCATGTCAGGTGCATGTGTATGTATGCCCAAATCCCAAGAGAAGAATGGAAGAAAAGGAATTATGGTGTAGCCATGCTCCCTGGGGAGTAATTTATCATTTTCTGTCTTTCTATCTCTATAGTGAACACACACACACTATAACCAAAAATCTCTCCAAAAAAAAAAAAAAAAGAGAGAGAGAGAAGAAGAAGAAAAAAGAAAAAGAAAAGCCACTGGATTACGAGGAATCCACAAAGGAAACAGAGCTATAAAGTTTGGAGAGGGGCAAAAAGCACAGGCGGGAAAGTCATGAGTAATGTCAAAGGCAGCACAGTGTACTACTAAAGATAGAAAAAATCTCTACTGAATTTGAAAATACAAACGTCTTTGATAATAGTAGTTTCAGAAGAAGGCTGAAGACAAAAATCAGATGGCAATAGGAATAAAAGAGGAAAAAAAAAAAGGAAGTAGGGAACCAGCAGTTAGCGTAATGGCTATGTCGCTGCACTCCCACGTAGTCGACCGCGGTTCAGGTCCCGGACCCGGTGGCTTAAAACTCATGCCGAGCACGTGTGCGTGCGCGCCCAAGATCCCGAGAGGAGAATGGAGGAGAAGGGATTGCAGCATGACCATCCCCCCTGGGAAGTGATTTCTCGCTTTCTGTCTCTCTGTCTCTCTCTGTCTGTCTGGCGAGTGCACGCGCCGTATAGCAAAAACCTCTCAAAAAAAAAAAAAAGGAAAAAAAAAAGAAAGTAGATCTAGTCACTTGAAACAGGATAAAAGAGGCAGAAGGGAAAAGGTAATCTGTACGAGAACATGAGCTGAAAGAATGCTGCTGCTTTGTTTGCACTGTAGGATGGTAAACAAACCTGTGCTTTGGCTGACGTGCCAGCCTACACAGAGTAAGAGGATGAAGACAAAGGGCAAAGCAAGGTTTTAAGGGAAACTGGCAAGTCCAGAGTTGACGCCTATGAACGCGTTGCCTTTCTCAGTTCTAATTATCTTCCAACTCGTAATAATTGTGAATCTTAATATACCCATCCCTCTCTATCCTTTTTTTCTTTTTCATTTTTAAAAATGCTTATATCTGTGGATAGCACAGGGAAAGTAGAAAGCATAGCAACAGTATTCAGGCTGAAAGCCCAGTCTACTGATAGGTTACCTTGAGTAAGTTATTGGGCTTCTCAGTGAAAAAGGATAATAATACCACCTGCTTTATAGGACTGTTAATAATCATGGAGGAGTTGTAAGGATTCAATGACAACTCACATAAATATCTTAGAAAGGTACATGTGTGTGCATGGCGAACAATTAACATACATTAGCAGCTATGATGATTCCAGGCACAGTTAAGTGATTTATATGAATTAATTCTTGAATCCTCACAACTCCTCTGTGAGTTAAATACAATTAGGTCATCAGAAAAATCATGATGTATTTTTCTATGCAAAAATGTGTCATGATTTTTCTGATGACCCAATATTATCTCACTTAATAGAATAATAACTAATAATTACTGAAAACTTACATTGTCCAGGCAAAGATCTAAATGCTTTACATATAACAAAAATAACAATAGCAAACTTTATTATTTATAGCTATCTACTATAATCACCTCCCTCCCTCAACCATTAACATATGTTCTACTGCTGGGGGCCTGGGGCTCAAAATTTTCTCTATTTGGAATTGTACTATCTCAGTGAATAAAGTGACATATATTTACATATATGAGAGTCTCCTGAAAAAGACCAAGTTATACATACAATTAGTATTTTTTTCTTTTCTTGGAGAGGTTTTTGCTAAAGAGCATGTGTGCTCACCAGAAAGACAGAGAGAGACAGAGAGACAGAAAGTGAGAAATTACCCCCAAGAAGGATGGTCATGCCGCAATCCCTTCTCCTCCATTCTCCTCTCAGGATCTTGTGTAGCCACGCACACGTACTCGGTGTGAATTTAATTTGCCGGGTCTGGGACTCAAACTGCAGTCGACTACAAGGGAGTGCAGTGACATAGCCATTACGCTAACTGCTGGTCTGGACACCCAATTATTAAAGTGAGCCACTTATGCAACAAACTGTGCCTTTACATATACACAAAGAAGCTCTGATTTTATTACATAGATAACCAAAGCTCATTAAGTAAAGAGCTCTCCTAGTATCAAAACAAATACCAAAAGGAAAAAAAAGGCAACATAGAAGATATAAACAAAGAGGGAAATTTTTAATAGATAGAAGAAGGTATTACATCTGCAAATGATGAAAAAGATGCTATAAAAGGGGAGTATTTTTGAAAATAAAAAAATAATAGCAAAAATCTTGACAGATAAGCTGAAAGATAGAGTTATAGAAAACTGAAAATCTATGAAATTTATAGAATCTATTCAAGGTCTGGTGTTTAATGAATAAAAGTTTTAGAAAGATAAAATAGAAAGTAGAAACGACTAAGTAACATCAATATTTCCCAACATTGAAGGATATGAATCTCAATGGAAATGGCCCAGTTGATATAATCAAAAATAAATAAAAAAGACCTACCGCATAAATGAGCATCTTGAAATTTTAGAATACTGGGAGAACTAGTGGGACTGGTGGTTAAGGCAGCTGGATCACACATGACTGACTTCATGGTTCAAGTCCTGAATCCAGCAGCTTGAGAAATACTGGGTACATGTTCATGCATGTCCAAAATCCTGAATGAAGAAATGGAGGAGGGACTGTGGTATGGACATCTCCCATTCAAGGGGTGCTTTCTCTCTCTTCCTCTCGCACGCTCTCTTACTCTTTCTGGTGAGTGCATGTACCCTCTAGCAAATTTAAAAAAAAATAAAAAAAGAAAAGAAACCTGAAGATCCTAAAAACTTCAAAATGAGGAAAACAAAAACAAAATAACAAACAATTGAAGATAATGTGCCAAAGATAAAATATTTAAATGACAGGGAACCAGCAGTTTGCATAATGGCTATGTCGCTGGATTCCCACGTAGTTGACCGCGGTTCGCGTCCCGGACCTGGTGGCTTAAAACTCACGCCGGGCGCATGTGCATGCGTGCCCAAGATCCCGAGAGGAGAATGGAGGAGAAGGGATTGCAGCGTGACCATCCCCCCTGGGGGGTGATTTCTCGCTTTCTGTCTCTCTCTGTTTGTCTGGTGAGCGCACGCGCCCTATAGCGAAAACCTCTCCAAAAAAAAAAAAATTAAATGACACTGGATTTTTTAATATAATTCTTGTAACTAAAAGAAAATAGGAAAGTGCTTTTAGATGTGTTATATGAAATAATTTACAGCATGGAGTTCTATACCCAGTCAAACTATCTAGAAAGGGTGAGCATAAAGAGAAGATGTTTTTAAAGATACAAAGCCTCACAAAGTTTACCACTTATTCAACCTTAGAACATTTAAAGAGTTAGCTCAAAGGTGAGGGAAAAAAAATTCTGGAAAAGAGAAAAATTTCTGAAAATTTCATGAGGTTCAGAATCAAGGAATCAAATAATAAGGGAGAATAGAATTTCCAAAAATTAAAGTAAATAATTTCATTAATAGTTTATGGTAGGCCAAAAGCAAATCTTCCCATACTGTTGAAAGGAATAGACAGCTCCAGACAAGATGTTCCCATGGGAAAAAGTGAACAGTTTACTCAGTATGCTTAAATATATGAAAGAGAGATTATTACATCTGGCTGGGGGTCAAAGTAGCAATAGATACATAGAAAACTACGAAAGGGAATTAAAATCAAGACAATGATCATTTCTAGGAAAAAAGAAAAGTTACACATAAAAAGAAGCATAATTATAGTGTACATAATATATTGCTCAATTAAAAATACCATGTAAATAGAAAAAAATTATATTAGCACCCAAATTCTTTTTACCCCCAAATGTTAACATAAATACATGACATAATAGGGTGAAAATGTGTATGTTTATTTAGTTTTAATACAGAAAAATTAAGAAATAGAAAAATAACATGTTATTTAGAATTATGAAAAAAATTACCCTTAGAAACAACTCAGAGATTCTAATGTGTCAGAAGTGGTTGCTTCTGGCAAGAGGAGATCGCAAAATGAAGCGGGTAGGGCAAGGCACCACTATGTCATTGTCGTTATGGATGTTTTATAAGTTTTCTGTTAAAGTCATTAGACTTTTAAGAATATGGGCATGCCTTCCTTTAGTAAAAATAAAAAAAAAAGAAGAAAAGCCACTCTAGCAAGTCACCCATTCTAACTGACCCTTACATACACAAAGAAATTCTGAACGGTTTTTATCACTTCATATTTTACTTTTTAAAATTTATTTTACTTATTACTGTTTTTGTCGTTATTTTAACTTGCTATAGGACACACACACACTGTCACCAGAGAGAGAGGGAGAGAGAAAGAAGTAAAGAAAGCAAGCTACCAGGTTCAGGACTTGAACCTCAGTTGACCACGCCAGTCCAGCAATTTTAACCACCATGCTACCTGCTGATCCCAGCACCTCATAATTTATACATAACTGTAAGCAACAATTTTAAAGGGCCTTCAGCTAAATCTCATTTCAGAGAGTATCTTATAGGGAAAAGTACCTAATTCATGACCTTTTGGTTTACATCATTCCTAATTAACTATTACTATCACTAGGCAAACTTAATTATGCCTTTGAAAATTCTTTTGTCTTTTCCAAATTTCACATTCAATCCGTGCTTTTTATTTTTTATCAAGAGTGAGATTTTTGCTATAGGGCACTTGTGCTTGCCAGAGAGATAGAGACAGACAGACAGAAAGCAAGAAATCACCCTCCAAAGGGATGACCACACCACAATTTCTTCTCCTCCATTCTTCTCTTGAGATTTTGGGTATGCATGCACACACACCCGGTGTGAGTTTTAAGCTACTGGTTCCGGGACTTGAACCACGGTCAACTCTGTGGTCCAGCAATGTAACAATTCCTGCATCTGTTGGTCCTAGATTGCACACACTTTGAAGACAGGGTCACGCATCGTTCAGTATGTGATACTATCCATCCTCTTCAGACCGACTGCATGATCAAAGAAAACTAAAGTTCCAGATAAGCCACAGAAATGAACATATACTTTTAGTATTTAAAATAACTGAGAAATAATCTCTGCCTTTATCTTAGAAATGAGAAAAAATCTAAAGAAGTAAGCTATAATTAGTTTCTAGCTAAGAAGTTGTCTGTATTTTCTATCTGCATTGATTTTTGCATCATTATCTTATTTACACATTCAATATTGATATATTATGTAATATTCTAATATAGAAACATTTCAAAACTGTGTTAAGATAGAAAAGGAAAAGAAATTCCATATACATACAACAGTGCCTGCTCTGGTCAGGCAGGGGTACTGTCCTGGTGAAAGAATTTCAGGCCTACAATAGAGAAATCTAGCAGAAGAGAAAATATACTTTGCTTTTGGCAAATTGGATCCACAGTCAGTCATTTTTTTCCAGGTTTCCATCATTATTTCCAGAAGCAGAGTGAGTTGCAGCAATTTGCCCCCAGATAGGTGATTTGATTATTGTTAGCATGTGGAATCTGTTTCTCTCATAATGCTTATCAGCTGTGGCACAAATTGAACACATTAATCACCCAAAAAATGGAGTCTGAGACACAGGGCACTAGTGAGTTTCACTGATAATGGAAAAGCGCGTGTGTGTGTGTGTGTGTGTGTGTGTGTGTGTGTGTAAGGGCTGCATTGTTAATATTAAGTTGAAAGAAAAAAGACTTTGTTTTTAGCGAGTGGTTTAACTATAATTATGGAAAAATAAAATGAATATAAGTGCATATTATGAGAACTGAGAGACATCTACTCAAACATTGGGGGCAAATAATATTTTGTAACTATTTATATTAGATCCTAATAAAAACAATACCAGCTCCCCTTTGGGGCTTTTGGAAATGTAAAATTCAAAGGACTGAAAATTCTGAGTTCAAAGATTTGTATCTTATCTTTTCCCAAATGAACATGGATTTGTGCCTTCAAATGGTTAACGCTTATCTCTGTGCAGCTGCAAAAGCAGCACAAACCGGAGCCTGAGTGTTTAAAGCAAACGTCTAACTAAAGCCCTGCAGGAGAAAGGAAGGGTGGTGAGGGGGAGCTGCTATCAACATCTCGCCCGTACCCCCGCGCCCAGACTACGTGGCTGGGCTTGACCCATCTATCACTGAGGCACAGGGCAGTCCGAGGCTTGTCCCTTTGACAAAAACATCCCTTTTTGTTACCTTGCTATTATGTCTGGCAGCTTCTTTTCCATGAATTCCTGCATGCACTGGTGTTCCGTAGAATTGTTGAGAAACCTCCGAAAAGATTCAACGTATCTGCTGTGGTCAGTAAACAAGCTCCTCATAGAAGATGCCATGTTTGGTTTTCTGTGGAAGATAGGGAAGGAAGCGAGGTTGAACTTCCCCTCCTTCTTTTCCCAGTTCCTTCTTTCTCTCTCTGTAATTGCTTTTTATGAAGAGAGACTAACTTGGCATTCTTGTCGAGAAGAGGAAGCTCAATAATTGTTTGCATTGTTGCCCTCCTTCTTTTCCCAGTTCCTTCTTTCTCTTTCCCCACCCCCACCAGCTTCTATCCAAAAAAAAAAAAAAAAGCTAAGCTTGCTTTGAATTTAACATGCGCCAAAGGCTAGTGCAGAGCTCTTTACTAAGTCAGTATTTGTGTAGGACTTTGCTTTGATACTTTAACCCTTACACAGTTGTTTCAAAAGAAACAGAGAGAGTAAAACAAGGCAATAAATCTACTGCAAAACTTAATGTTAAAACTCCCGAAGTTCAGAAAGTCATAAAAACTGCATTCAAATCACTCCTGTTCTGTCAGTTGCCACAAGTTCCAAGTGGGAAAGTGGATGATTAAGTGGATAAATAGGACAGTTACCAGGCTACCCTCCGCTTCAGAAACCAACAGCTGCCGATACCGCTGACAAAGCCTATCATCTGCCTCTGCTCTTTCCAGGAGAGTTTGTGCCTTAACGTCCCTCAATGCTTGAACTTTAAACTCATCTGCCATTTTTCTTCAAATACTGATGCAACTCTGGAAGTTTCTTCGGAGGGGGTCACCCAGGAGTATGAGAACTGTTAGCTAGAAATGATCACAGGCTGGGAGTGGGGGTGAGAGAGTCTTGGGATAGAATGCAGGACACCAGGGAACATGCCTTGTCGTATGGATCCTCCCTCAGGTACTCTGAACCAACGTGAGATCACAGATGGTTAGAGCTGGTTGGAAGAGCCTGTGGAAGCTGGCTGATTTACTCACCAGAAAATCCAAAAGTTAAAAACACTGGGCTTTTTCACCTGAGAAGTGGCCTTTAAAAAGGCTATCCCTTATCCAACGTAGATAGTTAATAATAGTATCAAACTCTTAGAGGAATTATGAGGATTAAATAAATTAACTCATAAATCTCTTAGAAATGTGTCTGTTTAAAGCACTCCCCTGGACTGGCCCCATAGTGAAGTGATTAAGTGCTGTGTAGAGGAAGCCAGATCCCTCAATGGAATGCTGAGGATCCTGCATGGACCAGAACTGGAGGAAAGAGGATTGTGGTGTTAAAGAGCCCTGCTGGGAGGGATGGTTTCTCGCTCTAGCTGTCTCTCACATGCTTGGGTCCTCTGGCATTCAAAACAAAACACCCTTTGTCTGAGTTGATTTGCCCTGTAAGCATCCAAAATACTTCAGATCCCCTTTTATATGCATTTCATGGTCTCCCTTCTTTGAGAGCCTGTGTTTCCCTCCTAGGGAAGATCTGGAAAGGCGGATTGACATGGGTGTCATTTTCTCCCTCTGCACATACTATCTGAGCTTGGCTGAAACATAAGCTTTAGTTTGCATGTCAGTAAAATGGGAACAATGAATTTTACCTCATAGGGTGTGGTGAGAATGATATGGATAATATTTATAAACTGCAGCCTGGTCTCTTTTGCAAAAATTACACAACAATAAAAAAAAATGTTGCTTTATGGGTGGACATGGAAATTTGAAATTTATATTATTTTTACATGTCATAAAATATTACCCTTGTTTTTTTTTTTTTTGATAATTCAAAATGGAAAAGTTATTGTTAGTTCATGGGCTGCACAACATTAAGTGGTGAGTTGGATTTGGGTAACTCCTGATCTGGCTCTTCTGGTCTTCACTTTATTGGAGTATGGCCTCCCTTCACTAGCTCTTACCCCCCATCTCTATCCAGTTCTTCTTCAAGCAGGCTGTCACAGGCTTTAGGTTCTTCTACTAGCATCCTCCATTATTCTCTTTAGAGTTCAATCCAAATTATTAATTTGTGTAATCATCTGTTGAATGAATATTCATCTGTGCTATTCTGCCAAGAATAAAAATCCTGATCTTATTTTGAAAAGCTCCTGGCAAAACCTCCCTGAACTGAAGCTCAGTACTTTTCTAAAACTCTTATCTTCCTTGTTTTTGTCAAATCTCCAATAGGGTCTACTCTTCACGTGCACCTCACTGAGGATTTCCTCTCCATTGTGATGGCTTCCATGCTACTTGGGATTCTCTTCATTTTTCACCTCCAGTGCTATTTTTCTTACTGGCCTTCATGCTTTAGGAATCACACAAATCCTAGCCAATTTTATTGCTACTGCCATTTTTTTTAAAAGCAAGTTCAAATACAGTCACTCTTCTTCCTCAAGATACTTACTCTCCCCTTTGACCCCCAAGTTAAGAATAAGATCAGTTTATTGACCTCTCCCTAATAATTATTCAGTTGTTTTTTTTCTCTTTTCCTCTAGGCTTGCCATTGTATCTTCTTCAAATTGTGCTACTTTATCTATGTATATCACAACGTTTTCCTGCCTATGGCTTCTCCTCAAAGTAGTTCATTTTTTTATAATGTGCTGCTTCCCCTCTTACAACACCCACTTAACATTTTATCTATTCTTCATATTCTAGCACTTCTGTGAAGCCTTCCACACTTCCCTTAAAAGGATTGGCACTTGGGCTCCTAAATTCAGAACTTCTTATAACTTTGAAAGCATTGCACCCATTTGATTGTGAGGTCCTGAAGAAAGACCAGAATCACAGCTCCTCTATCTGATATGTTGCCCGTAGTAGGCTTGCAGTTTTTAAAAAATGAGTAAACATGTGCTTGAACATTTCCACTATTGAGGTCCTCTCTACCATCAGTAGTTCTCCACTCTTTTCATTATCAGATACCTCTCATGTTACTAATAGAACTAGTAATTGCATTTATTTAGCACTTAACTATATGCTGGGGATTGTGTGAGTCTTTTCAAATTTAGGATAGAATTTACTCTTGGCAACACCTCTGTGAGCTGCCATATATGACAGATGAGAAAACTGAGTTTCTGAGAGGCTGAGTCATTTATTCAAGGTTACCTACCTAAGAAGTGGCAGGGCTGGTGCAGAATTCCAGTCTGTCAAATCCCAGGACAGGTGTTCTCACAAAAACCTTCATATACAACCAAAATCTCCCTCCTTGTAACTTCTAGATATAATAGTACTCCTATTCCTAGTTGCTTAAACTAAAAGGAATTAATCTAATTTCTTTTCCATAAAACACTCATTGGAAAATGTGAAGTAGATTCTTAGGATAACCTCAACCCCACCCCAGGTGTTTCTTCCATAGTTCCTACATATTGCTTCTATAATGCAGCCTTATATAATGTATTGCTCTAGTCTCCTCCTTTAGAAAAATTCTAGCTTATCTGGGCTCCTTTAAAAAATGGTATCTGGAAATAAACACACTATCCTAAAGGCTGCCTAACTAGTGGAAACTATTACTATCTAAGCTTAGACTACTGCTTCCCACTATTCTACCTAACCCAAGTTCCTTGTGATATTACTAAATGCTCCACTATAAAAAAAGTAAGAAAAAAAGGAAAAAAAAATAAGAGAAAGAGAGAAAGGGCTACATACTCCTATCCATTTAGGAAGTGCTATAGTCTGTAGCTTCCTCTGGACATTTGCAATGCATATTAGTCTGTTAAAGGCATATGGGATCTTGGTCACATGCCCTTTTAAAATGTAGATATATTGAATCTATGTCATTTCTCTGATTAGTCTTACAACCCCTCAACAACAACAAAATAAGAAATCTGCTGCTTTCAGCATGACTTGCATTTGATCAAATGGGTTCAGATATTGCAACTTCCTTTTAAACTTGCATATAGAATATCTGTTTCATAATCCATCTAGCTGGTTGGAAATAGAAATTTTTGAGAATTCTCCTTTCCCTCCTTTTTGAAAACTGGACAAATATTGGCACATCTATCCTTTGCTCTGACTTCTCAGAGGTTACTGTCAATGAAATCACTATTGCATTTATAAATTCTTTTAGCAAACTGGGATATAATTTTTCTAGGAGTTAAAAGATAGTCTGATTTAAAATTCTTACTTATTTTCTTACCTATTTTGGGTTTTGATCCCCTGTTACCAACCATTTACTAAGCTATTGCTGATGTCAAAGTGCCTTCCATGCATTATCTTATTTAATACTTCTAATCCTAGCGATGGAACTACTGATATCATTAAGTATGACTCAGAAGGTATGTTGGATTAAGTATGATTCAGAAGGTATGTTGGATAAAATTACAAAACTCTTCAGAGAAGAACCTGGATCCAAATTCACGTTTGATTACAAGGCCCATTTTTAAAATCTCAACCAAACTTCTCATCATTCAATGTCTTTTTAATATGAAGACTATTTTCTATACTAGAGAGGACTGAAACAAATAAAAATAGAGGAATTCTGCATTCTATCACCTATAAATAGCATACCTCCTGTGCTAAGTCAAAAACAAAGGTTTTCCCTGCTCATTCTTCTTGTTCTGTATGTTCTATGCAAAAAAAAAAAAAAAAAAAAAAACTAAAGAGAAGACAAAGACAAAGAGCAAAATCTTTAGGATCTATTTTTTTAGAATTCTTTTCTTTTCTTTCTTTCTTTCTTTCTTTTTTCCTCCTTCCTCCCTTTCCTTTTTCTTTCTTCCTTCTTTTTAGTTTGACCAGAGGGAGACAGAATGAGAGAGAGGAAAGGAAAGTGAGAAAGCAAGCTGCCAGGTATGGGACTCAAACCACAGTCGGCCATATGGTAGTCCAGTGCCCCCAACCACCACGCCACCTGCCAGCCCCTATTTATTTTTTTTTTAACGTAGCACTGTTCAGATATTTTCATTAATCTTGGTCTCAAATCCTCTGAACATTTTTTATTGGTATTTTTATTTTTTGTTATACACCCCATTTTTAAACAACATAATATGTATGTATATCATAATGGCAATATTGTTAAATTATCTTAATCAAATACATTAGGCCCCCCTCATTCCCTTACTCATGGCTTTGCTTTCTATAGATTCAGTGACTGAGGTCAACCATAGTTTGAAAATAGCTTATTGACAGTATAATAAGATATTGTAAGAAAGAATTAAAGAGCACATTCACATAACTTTTATTAAAGTATATTGT